GCGGGGTGGCATAGAGCACTGGTTGGGGGGGTGGCTTGAGGAGTGGGGGAGGGGTCCTCCCCCCAGCCCTGTACACATGGTGGGGAGGTGGGGAGAGGTGAGTGCTGCTTTCCCTTGGGGGAGACATTTCAATTGTAGGTTTATCCTTCTAAAGTATGCTGGGCGGTGGGGTCATGGACCTTGTGACATCACTACAGAAAGGTTGTGGACAAATTGGAGAGAGTCCAGTGGAGGGCAACAAAAATGGTGAGGAAGTTGGAGGACATGGCTTATGAGGAAAGACTAAGGGAACTGGGCTTATTTAGTCTAGAGAAGAGAAGACTGGGAGGGGATTTAATTTCAGCCTTTAACTGCCTGAAGGGGAGTTCGAAAGAGGATGGAGCTAGAACTAGACTGTTCTCAGTGGTGGCAGATGACAGAACAAGGAGCAGTGGCCACAAGTTGCAGTAGTGGAAGTTTAAGTTAGATATTAGGAAGAATTTTCTCACTAGGATGGTAGTAAAACACTGGAGCAGGTTACCCAGAGAGGTGGTGGAAGCTCCATCCTTGGAGGTTTTCAAAACCTGGCTAGACAAAGCTTTGGCTGGGATGATGTAGTTGGGGATGGTCCTTCTTTGAGCAGGGGGTAGAACTAGATGACCTCCTGAGGTCCCTTCCAGCCCTAAATTTCTATGATTCTATCTCTGAATGAGACATGCAGCCAGAAGGACAGAGCCCCAGAGCTTGGGTGGGGGGTCACACATAGAAACTGTGTTGAGGGGAATGCGGGACAAATGCTGCCCTGGAGTTATTCAGCCCAGGACCAGGATTTGAAGTTTACATTTTGGGATTGTCCCACCCAATTATAGGGATGGGTGGTCACTCTACTCCTGCTTTCTCTGTAGGTAGGAAGGCCTATTGAGTCGTCGATGGTTTTGGTTAGGAGTGATATGAAAGCTCAACATGGCCCACCTATATGTCTCATCCTTTTACTTCAGACGGAAAAGAATCAGATGCCCATTTTTTTTGCTAAAGCATTTGTTGTCCATAAACCAAACTAGGAGCTTGTATGCAAGATGTTAGCATGGATGCAAAATAATTAATTTGAGTAAATCATCCTAAGAGAAACCGCATAAACAGTTGGCCATGGGGTTTGGGAAGAGCCTATGCTAAGGAATGCAAGTTAGAGAAGGGAAGTGGCAATCTAACCGTAACTTTGGAAAACCTGAATGGAATTTTAGAGTACTTCCAAGGCCTGAAGACTTTCTCCTAGCTGAATGCGTAAGTGCAGCTGCAAACAATAGAGGTGAGAGACCTTCTCAAAAAAAAAAGCTTATGTGTATCCTTTATAGCTGAAAATGCTAGTCAAGCCTATATACAGAGACACAACCCCCCTTCTTAATAGAGGAGTAGAAAAACAGGCCTACTGTTCTAGTATTTGTCTTACATAGCAGTGACACAATTATTGAATATTCTTAGGTGATGGCTAAAATTTCAAAATTTTATACTTAGTGCTTATTGCTTATTATTCAATATATTTTTAATATTATAAGTGTGGCTAATTCATGTGCTAAAAAGAAAAATCAAGCTCTACTAAGGGAGCAGCTTTTTAATAAGTCAGCTCTCACATATTCCAGAGATAGAGATTTTATTTTGGTGGAAAGTAGAGAGTCTGATGAACCTTGAGAAGAGAAGTGGCAGGAGTACTGAGCCCAGGCTAGCAGGAGCTCTTGTAGGGGCTCTGCCTGCTGCAGGCCCTGAGCGTCCTGAGGCCTCATGGCCTGCTGCTGTTGCTGGTGATGGGCTGCCCCCATGAACACCCCACACCCCCTCACACACCCCAGCCACCCTCCTCCTCCACATATGCTACAACCTTCCCCAGCCATCTTCCCCACACACACTCACATCCCCCCACAAATTCCATACCTACCCATACCCCACATAGCCACACCCACATGCTCTCCCACCCCACATAGAAACACCCACACACCTCCAAACCACATAAATCCCCACACTCCCACACCTATTCACTCCCCCACAAATCCCACGTACTGCCCACACCTATCTACCCCTCACAGCCCACACCCTCCCCTACACACCATATGCCCACATACTCAAACACCCACAGCCCCTCACAAACCTATTCCCACCCACCCATACCTCCTACACTCTCCCCATAATATACAAGAATAAGACTTCATTTTAAGCTATTATACAATCACCTTGATGTACACTACACAAACACAAGTAAATCATGACAAAAATATTTTTTTGAAATCAAGTTAATGAATGTTGTAGTAGATGTTTGATTTCAGAATATAATCTGGTATTTTTCTGGTTCTGAGATGGCAAACCCCCTTGTGGAAAGGAGTACTTCCAGGTACAAGGGGAGGAACTTCTGGTGGCAAAAGTCAGGGGTTAGGGGGGCAGGACTTACAGTCCCAAGATGGCGACCAGGGGGGCAGGGTACCTTTAAGGGGTGAGACTACCCATTCAGCCCTCGACAGCTTGCCAAAACTTGATAAGTGGCCCTCCAGCTGAAATAATTACCTGCCCCTGGGATATAGTTACCCATTCTAGTCCTTGATTTTAGGGTGGAAATTTCAAGAGTGCCTACATGAGTTAAGCACGCAAGTGTCATTGATTATCAATGGGAATAGGACATCTAATTCTCTTAGTCTCTTTTGATCATCTCTTATGTAAAATTATGAGCCCAAATCTGTTTCCCCCTGAAATTAGACCTTGTTCTTCTACTACGTTGAGTGAAAAAAGGTTCATAGGCAGCCTGGTTTTGGCAAAATATTTTTAGCCACAGTGGTCCTAAAACATTTGGATTACAGCACTCCTGAAGACGGAATGAGTTCAGCTGTTGTCATGTCTCTTTCCAAGCAAGTGATAAAATGTTGAGTTTTTTTTCTGTAATCCTTGTGAAGAAGATAGAGGACCACATTTGGGGACCAAATTGCTGTTTGAAGGCAACTGCATTGCATGGTATCTCTGTGCTTTAATACTGCATTATTTTATATGTGCTATTGTCCACTATTTTGTCTTCTGATATGGATCTGCCTTCAGTTTTTAAGTTCTTGTAACCCTTTACCTATATAAATTCTCAGGCAGGAGCAATAGTATAGTGTCTTTAAGAAAACAGACCAAGAAGGATCATGTTTCCCTGTCTCCGGGTTTATGCACATTAGTAAGATGCTTTTACTGCTTTCTGGGTGTGGGAAAAGGTATTTTAGTTTACTGTGAAATCCCAACCTAAATCCAGGGACAACAGTTGCAAGGCATTCCCTATTTTTCCTGCACTTGGCAGAGAAAGTGATATCTCCATACTTGCCCAAACTACTTATGGTGTAGCATCATTCTTAAAAAATGGCATTGGGGAAAGATGAGCGAATTACAAGTAATCTCCAACAGAAGCCCCATAATGTAATAGATTCTGAGTCTGAGATTTCAATTTTCTCTTTTGAATTCAGTAGTTATGGAAATTTGCTGGATAGAAAAAATATGCAGAGTCAGTGTGACCTTTTGAATTTTGACTGGCTAATCAGCTTCAGCCCTCCATCTGAAAGGATAAGGATAAGGAGATAGTTCAGTGTCAAAGACCATTCTCTCTGACTAGAGAAATGGTTTTAGAGGGTGTTTGAAGACAGGGTTCCATGAATAGTCTCGAACTTGGACTGGTGCAAACCTGATCTTTGAATATTTGTGTTTAGCTATTATTTTGGCAGGTTGCCAAAAGCTTCCTGAGGAAGCCAATACGAGGAGGGAAAAGGTAATTTTAGAAAGTTTCCACCTCTGGGATAGCTGAATGGAGTGTCATAGGACAGAAAAACTCTCAGAAATTCCCAAAATGGAAGGTAAATAGAAATGTGTGAATTACACAAGCATTTGAGTTTACTTACATGTACTTAAAACAGCCCTGGTACAAATTTAGTTTGGCTCAAAAATCCCATGAAATGCATTTTCCTATGAAAATGAATAAGCCCCCTAGAGAAATTGGCATACTATCAGTAAAAGTTGGGTTAGACTTGTACTGGATTAAAAACAAAATTATTAACTGCAGTTGGTCCAAGTGCTGAAATAATAGTATTTTACTGAGATCCATGAAATGTCATTAAATAGTAAAAGGTCACAATTTGCTTGAAGAGCAATATTATATCTTCCTCCAGCCCCAAAGTGAAAATGAATTAACAGCAAGAGGGTTAGAGTCCACATGAACTGCTGAGAACTGACTCTTGTCTAATTAATATTAATTCACTCTTTATAAAGTGATAACAAGATTCTCCTAGCTTCTGTTGCATCTACTTTTAATTTTAAATGAACTTTAATCAGTTTGCTGAATCACTATGTCTGTTGGGTCTAAGTAAATATGACCTCTGGTATAATTGGATGGCACACCCTATTGAGACTAGTTAGGCAGATAGACTAGGAAACAATGTGCAAACTAGTTTCCTCTCTTATCGGAGGAGATCGATTCCCAAAGGGAGCCAGAGTGACATAGATATTGCTGGTGTAGTTGATACTTTTAACCATGACATCACTCAAAACCCAAGAAGAACGCTATATCACAAAGAGTACATTGCTACAGAATGGGAACCCATTCAACTAAAATAGATGGTGTGCCATAACCAAAGGCTTCCTTTTGTACCGAAGTTTCTTCACTTATTCAAGAAGCATAGATTACAGATCCATTGTGCGGAGCCCGCTGTTTTTACTTGCCTGCAATACATTTCATGCAGGGCCTCTTCTCCTTTTCTTTTTTTTCCCTGCTTTTCTCCATATGACACCTGTTGCTGCCTGGTGGACACAATGGTCAGGGAATTCTGTAACTGTTAAGCAAAGAATTGCAGAGCATGCCGGTGAGAAGAGGAACAAAGCAGGAAGAATCAAATCTCCCTGGGCAGGCAGTTTTGGGAGCGTGCTCTTGCTTCAGGTTGCTTTGCAGTGTGCAGCGAGTAGGATTTTGTCAGCATAACGTGGGCCAGTCTTGAGGGCTGTCTTTTTTTCGGAGTGTCACCATGCTGCAACAAATTTTACGTGATATGTACATTGACCCTGAACTCCTGGCAGAACTCAATGAAGAGCAGAAGCAGATCCTGTTTTACAAAATGAGGGAAGAGCAGCTGAGACGCTGGAGGGAGAGGGAGGAAAAAGCAGAAATGGAGGATGCGCTGTTGAAAAAGACGGCAAGACTCAAGCGAAGTAAGCTTTGCAAGGCTTTTCTGTGTTTGGGCAGGGGCTGGATGCAATGGGGAGATGGGCATATATAATACAGAGGGGCAAGTCTGGCTATATGGCAAAATGGAAGATATTAGTTGGAAAGAGTATTGCCAAGAGGCTAGAACCGAACCTGGGTTCAGTTTCTGATCCTGTAATTTATTTGTCATATGATTTGAACATATATATTTGAACATGTATTGCTGAAGACTAGATCTGACTTGGCTTCCACACGTACAGGGTAGTTCTCCATGGTTCTTTTGTATATCCTTCTTGAATTACCTGCTCTATTTTGGTCCCTGGTGGGTAGGAGTAAGTGGGGTTACACACTTTCTTTCTCTCTGGAGTAAATAGGAACACCCTTGGTTCCAAATCCCTATATTCATTTACTGGCTAGATTACCTGGTGCATGGCATGTGTTGTCACTTACAACTGATATAAGGAAGCAGTATTACAAGCAGTATTACATACCCAGAACCAAATGAGTATGAGGCAGGATGCTAGTCAGCAATATTCCTGAAGTCATACTTCCCTTTCTCTGTGCTGCATCCAAGATCATAATCTGGTCTGTAACTTCTCTAGCATGAATTTTCAAATTGACTAGTAATTCTGGGTGGCAGATTTAATGAAAGTGCTGAGCACTTGAACCCAGAAAAGCATGGCTCCAGTTGTGTGCCTTCAAACTGAGTTATTATTAAAATCTCTTGAGAATTTAGACTTCTGTATCTGGGTTCTTCATCTATACATTGGATGTGATGAAGCTCATCTTTCTGATAAGGATGCTGTGAATTGGTATTTGTAAATTAACTAATGTTTGGAATGCCTTGATGGTGGGTGTTCTAGCACTTGCACAATCCCAGGTTCAGTACATTATATACTTATATTAAGGCACAACCAAAGTAAAAGGCTTGTTCTTTTTTTATAGTACAGTTATAAACATGGATTACAAGGTTTAGCAGAGACCTTTTGTGTATTTAATAGCCTAAGAACTGTTGTTTGTGAGGTGGGCCGCACATACCATTAGGAATTTAACACCCTGAGGGATCTTTAAAGCCATCTCTTGATTACTTCATTTACTCAGAACAAATTCAAATACTGAGACTTCTCCCATGAACAAGGGTCTTCACAATCTGACCCTGTTGTAAAATGATTATACCTCACAAAAGTATTGTTAGAACAAAGAAGAAAAACCCTGTGAAAAGTGCAGATTATGTTTTAATCTATGGATTAGCAGCAACATAGGCTAGAATCAGCCCTATCTAGTTGCTAACATGGGGTCTGAAGCATCCTTTGTTTCTTATTTTTCTCTCTCTCTCATAACAGTCTTTAAATACACCATAAAGAGCCTTCTCCTAGGTCTATCAGTTTTGCCTTTCATAGAGCCCCCAAGGCTTGTGCACTTTGATTTGTAGCTGGGAAAAAATTAAAAATGCAGTTCAGGCCTACAGACCAAAACAACATTATAGCATCAAGATAATCTGTATTACGCTCATTCTCTGAGAAAGATAGATGCAGAAAAATTTAACTGCAAAAATATTTATATGATGATTTGTCACAGTGTTGACATCTACATTTCCATATATAAATTATACATTAAATATATTTAGCTTCTTAGTACAGGAGACTATTTTCTGGGTAATTAATTTTCTGATTTATAAAGAATGAGAAAAAGGAGAGACGAGCAGCAGAAAAACCTATAGGTTATATCAGCACAGACACATGTGCCCATATTCATAGTAAAGTTACCCAGAGTAAAACTACACAGTGGCTAATATTTGTGCTAGGTCCTTTCACATGCTAGTGCATCTATTAATTGTTCATGTTCTCATGATTTATAATAGTAAAGGGTCTCAAATGAGAACTGGTTTCTTGTTTGGAAAATAATTTTAGGTCATGCAAAAATGATGCCCCCAATGCAGGAAGTACTATGTGAAATTCTATGGTGTGTGTTATACTGGAGGTCAGGAGTGATGGGTATCCTTGGTTTTCTCTTTGGATCTATTTTTGTAGAGGTTTGTAGTCCACTCTGTAGTTCCAGAGGAAAATAAAACCGGTTTTCTGTTGTCCTCAACTTGCAATGTATATTGCAATTTAGAAGATTGTCCCTTCTTCAATTTCTTTTCAGTGCAATTGACATCCAGGAAATTTGGAAGCACCACAACCACCTCCTCCAATTTCCATTCCTACTGAGGGATGTGGGTGGTTTTAATTGCTGCCTCTGCCAAAAAGTGTAGTCTCTGTTTCTCTGATTTTAATGTGTGGCTTTATGCTGGTGTTACTCTGCAGTCAGTGGAGTTGTACTGGCTTTATCTTGGTATAGATGGTAGAGAATCAAAGTCTTAGGTTTTACTGTGCTGATCTATGATAAATTCTGATGCCCAAGTGCATTGTAGGAATGGGTCTTCAGTTCCCAGCTCAATGTAATCCTGCTGTAGGCCAGGATTACTTAAGATTCAAAATATAAGGGTCAGCCTCCACTAGCTTGATTATTATAGATCACAGTCTAATGTGGATGTCCGTTACATAAATATTGTATTGCATTATACATTGTTTTATTATTTTATTATGTTATTTATATGGAAACTAATTTGTGTAATCTCTGAATTTTATCTATAATTTGTATTTTTACCTATCAAATTCTATTTTTGATAGTTCAAGGATAAAAAAAAGAAGAGAATAAATACTTGTCAATTTTTCCTATTTTATAACAATTTAAACTTAATAGTTGCTACATACATAAGAAGCCTTTATAGAAAGTAGTGCTCCAAAAATGCTCTTACTGTATATGGAGGTTGTACATCTGGACCTGATAGTGAACCAAAGTCCCAAATTGGTGTCAGGGAACATCAGATCTTCCAATCGGACAAAAATGGTAGAATTTTCATAAGCACCAGTTTTCAAAAGTGACTTGGGAATTAAGGCTGCTAATTTACTAGGGAACCAAGGCTGTGGAAAATTTTACCTGAAAATATATTTTGATCATTCAGTTTGCCAGGTTCTCAGCTGACAGATATCAGAGTAGTTCTGCTAGGCATGAGTACATGGCACTATGCAGAGGTACTCATGCTAGGTAGCTTAGATACTGGAAACATGTTAGCTATCAACACAGCTAACATAGCACTGACTGTGCTAATTGACCCTCTTAAGAAGCTGGTATGTAGATGTACTCTTCACGTCAGTGACACAGTTATTAGCAGTCAATAGTAATACCACATGTTCTCTTACACAATATACATCTCTCCCCCCAGAATCAGCTCCCTAAAATTGGGTTTGCGTACCAAGTGAAGGAACTATTTTCTTCACTAGAAAAGACGCAGGCTTAAGAACACGTTATAACATGGAAATTGGAGGCTGCTATGGTGACTGTCACTTGTCTGGCCCAAAGGAAGGGGCAGAATCTTATGTTAACCCTCTCACAGCCATAGCAATTAGCTGAGTGCTATAGCTTGTGCTTGAAGTAGCAAGTGAGCTCCTGGTAGTATCTTAATGGAACTTGCAATGTGGAAACTACTCCTTTGTTTATTGGAACATAAATAAAGAACTACTTAGAGTAAAGAACTACCAGTCTTGCTGTTGCCCTTGCAAGGGTCTGGGACCTAACCTTGTGTGATGTTGAACTTCCACACAAGGAAGGTCCTGCTTTACCTGGACTGTCTCCTTGGATGCAACACTTCCTGGACACTTTGGTGTGATCCAGATATTCAGGCATGCATGGTGTGGCAGAAGGCCACCTCTGTTTCTCCCCAAAAACTCTGCTCTGTGACAGTTTGGTTAAGATGGGCCCTGCAGAGGGTACACACCTTACCCTATCTCTTTAGGTAACCTGAGCTGGATACATTCCTGAGGGAGGTGGGGAAACTTGCTCCCTCTGCTTATGTGACTGGCATCACATACTTGGGTGAGGGGCTTGGACTCCCTGGGGAGCTAGGAACTGCCAGTCTGCCCAGCAACTAGTGATGCATTTCAAATTGGTTGGCTGACAGCCAACAGCTGCTGGCTTCCATTGGACCAGGTAAATGAGGTCATAAGATTCATAGATTCATAGATTCATAGATGTTAGGGTCGGAAGGGACCTCAATAGATCAT